AGCGTTGAATCCCCAGTAACGATCTTCCAGGCACTTTTGGCTAACATCGCCTGATTGGCAAGTCTGGTGGGTCGAATGCCAACTCCTACTTGCTCCCTTGGTCGAGTAAGTTGTTCCCAAGCAACAGGGTGAAATTTAGTTTTTCCCTCTTCTTCTCCCCAAACAAATTGACGGTTGATCCTGTCAATGTTTTTACAAACAGAAGCTGGAAGTTTTTCTGTAAACATAGGATATATAACCATGGAAGAAGATACCGAATTCACAAGGGTGATCCTAGCAGCTACTGAGAGATGGTTGGTTTTCCATGCTGCCAGTTTGCTTTGGATTCGAGAGATGAGCTGCTGGTATCTTTTCTTAGTAATCCTGCCATTGATAGCTAAAATGCCTAGGTAACGCCCCAGATCGCTTGTCAGGTTGATTCCCGCTTTCATGCTTAGCCTACGAGCCTTGTCTTTGTGAACGTTTGGTGAGACAAACACAACTGATTTATGAAAGTTCACTTTCTGGCCAGAACTTGAGCAAAATTCTTCCAAGCAATTCCTTATGATGTCTACCTGTCCACCCTCACCCTCTGCAAACAAAATTAAGGGGTCGTTTGCTTCAAGGATTTAAAAATGAGGGTTTTGTAATTTAAAAACCCAAGGATTTATCAAGGATTTGAGGCATCATGGATTTGTAACAATCCTTTGTTTGTTGGGATGTTTTTATCATGGATTTAAAGGTGTGAGATTTACTATTTGAAGTCAAAAATTACATTACTGCCCTTTTCTATATGTTTGACATGTTTATGATATGTACACAAAACAAGGACAAAACTTCAAAATTACCTTACTATCATTTTCTATATGTTTGACATGTTTATGATATGCAGGGGCGGAGCTAGCATTTAGTGCTCGGGGGGGCCGGATTTCATAATACATTACTGCAAAAGACTAAAAAAAATACTAATAATTAAAATATTTAGGTTTAAAAATCTATTTTTATACTAATTTTGTTTTATTATAAACATATAAAATATTTTTCACATTATATTTACTATAAATTAGAATAATAAAAAATAATATATTTCAAGAAGCAAAAACGGTAATTAATTGATGTAAACTATAATTTAAAAAGGAAAATAAAAATTACAAAGTTAATGACTAAAGTATTTAATGCCCGCTTACTATAAAAGAAAAGGAAGGAGAAGTTGTAGCTTAGGTAAACTACCATAAAAGTAATTAACCTAGGGCGCTTACTATAAAAGAAAAGGAAGGAGAAGTTGTAACTTAGGTAAACTACCATAAAAGTAATTAACCTAGGGAAAGCTATAAACTGCTTCCCTTTGGAATCGAACCCGAGACCTTTGGGTTATAAATAGTTCATATTCCGCTGGGCTACAAGAAACTTTATGTCTTAACTTTGCACGGTTTATATTTTATATATAAATTATAGTTTGTACACACGATCCCGACTTATTTATACGTGACTTTCGAGATTCTCGGGGGGGCCCCCCCGAGACATGCTGTAGCTCCGCCCCTGATGATATGTACACAAAACAAGGACAATACATACTAATAAGCATAATGTTGCCACATGGACAATAATAATAAACGAGAAAATTCCGTTTTAACTTTTAACGTAACATAATCAATTACCAATTCTTTGTCCTCCTTTTCAAAAGTAACATATAACAACATATATTAGAATTGGGAGAACAAAGAATTACACGTTCCATGAAAAGGTCAAAGAAAACTAGAACACAAGAAATGATATAAAAAATATAACTCATGTTTGCACATTAATTGAACGTTTATATTATTCATTTATTGTTAATTATAATGTATAATAGTTAAATTTGAGGGCAACCTTGGAATATTAAAAGTGCATGAGGGTATATGGGTAAAATCTCATCAAGGATTTATGCCATATTCCAAATCCCACATCAATATGTGGGATTTATAAGTCCGTGGGGTCCACGAATTTGGACCCTTAAAATCCGTGGGCCCCACGGATTTGGTCTCCAAAAAATGTGCAAGCAAACAACGGATTGTACCTAAATCCTTGATAGTTGGTTTTTTGGTACCAAATCCATGTACCAAATCCTTGAAGCAAACGACCCCTAAATCATCAGAGAAGAAAAGGTGGGAGAGCTTTGGTCCATCCCTAGATAGAGGAATTGGTTTCCAAAGCTTTCCTTCCACCGCTTGTTCGATACGATGAGCTAGCCTTTCCATACATAAAACGAAAAGAAAAGAGGACAAGGGGTCTCCCTGACGAACTCCTCTAGTAGGTCTGATGACGGAAGTGAGCTGCCCGTTCCAGTTGATTTTCATTTGGTTTTTCTCCACGCAGGTCATTATCCTGCTAATCCAACTGCCGGGGAGCCCAATTTCTCCTAGAGTATCACGCAGGAAACTCCAACTGAGCCGATCATAGGCCTTCTCTAGATCTATTTTGATAACAATTCCTCCCTTTTTCCTTTCTTATTTCTAAGAGAGTGAAGCATTTCTTGCAGCAGGATTATGTTATCAGTAGTCTGTCTCCCCAGGATGAAGCCACTTTGGGTGGGCGCCACTAGCTTTGGCATTAGTGGCTTCAATATGTTGGCCATAGCTTTAGTAATCGCTTTCAGAGCCACATTATTAAGACTGATAGGTCTGAATTGAGCTGGAGTTTCAGGGTGATCCACTTTCGGGATCAGCATAACTGTTGAGTCCATCAACTCATCTGGGACATTTCCAGATTCAAAGAATTGAGTAGCCATATCGGTGGGATTCTTTCCTACAAGGGGCCAAAACTTCTGTTAAAAGATAGCTTGAAAGCCATCAGGTCCCAGAGCGGACATAGGCTTCATATCAAATATAGCTTTATGTAGGTCAGAGATGTGAAGAGGGCGAAACAGACTCATTAACTCTTCTTGATTAAGGCGAGGGAAACTTCCTTTCGGCATCAGATCTTCATGTTCCCCCTCCTCCTGGGTATATAGCAACCTGTAGAAGTCGACCACCATGGTTTGGAGTTGCTCCACGTTGTCGATCCAGTCACCATTGCTATTACGAAGAGCTAGAATCCTATTTCTTCTTCTTCTTCTAGTAGCTTGTTGATCAAAGAACGAAGTGTTCTGCTCCCCAAGTCTCAGCCATTTTTCGTTGGCTCTTTGGAACCAAAAAACCTCTTCTTTAGCCAAAATCAGATCTAGCTCTTTTTCCAGCTTTATTTGGAGCTTCAGAAGTCCATAATTGAAAGAGTTAGCAAGCCTTTCAGTGATCCCCTGGAGCCTAGCACATAGCCGTTTCTTTTTTCGGTATGTGGACCCAAAAACTTCCCTCTTCCATTGCTGCATTTTGTTCGCCATCTCCTTGAGGGAGCTGATCAACATTGCTTCTTTATCCCAATTCCCAGCCATAAACTCCTTGAATTGAGGATGAAGTAATGAGGCAGCTTCAAAGCGAAAGGCGTTGGAAGTGTCAGCCCCCGCTTGATTCCCAGTGTAGCTAGTTAGGATGGGGAGATGGTCCAAGTGAAATTTCAGAAGATGCTGAACTGTGGTGTTGGGGAAGGTGAGGTTCCAGTCATCGTTGCAAAGGGTCCTGTCAATCCGGCTGGCTTTGTGAGTGGTCATCGAGTCCCCTCTGAACCAAGTGAAATGCGGCCCTGAAAACCCGAGATCCAACAGCCTAGCTTCGTTCATCCAGTTAACAAACCTTTGGCATCTCCTAAGATCTTGCGAGGAACTGGCTCCGTGTTTTTCGTTAGGTGAATATATAACATTAAAGTCCCCTGTTATCACCCAAGGAAGCTGCTAATCTTTGCTGGTTTGTATGAGCTGCTGCCACATGATGGAGTGGAATTTATACTTAGGGCTTCCATAAATGCTAGACAACAACCAATCCGGATGATTAGCTTTAGAGACTTTGAAAGTAATGTGTTGCTGGCTGGCATCCAAAGGGGTAACCGAGAAGTTTTCCGACCTCCAAGCTAGCCAAATACCACCTGATTTGCCCGTTGCATCAACGCGGATGATCTCATCAAATCCCAATTTGCCACAAACAGAGTTAGCCCTCTCACCGCTGATATGAGGTTCAAGAATAATCAAGAAATCGGGTTTGTGAACATCCCTAAGTAGCCGAATCGCTCTTATGAATTTTCTTCCACCTGCACCACAAACATTCCAAGATAAAAAATTTATGTTAGAATGATACATAATAAGGTATGAAAATAAGAAGAGAGGATGGAAAGGGAGGAGAGGTTTAGATGGCGCTGGAGGGTTCGATGGCGCTGGGTACTGAAGCCTCCACATTCCCATCCGGTAAATTTCTTTCACTGGCTTCATCGGACGTGGGTTCCGTCATCGAGATGTCCTCCGTCTTCCCCTTGGGTTCAATTTGGTTGCACTCTTTTTTCTTCTGGGCCGTAGTGCAAAATTCTTCGATGGCTTTCAAGGAGATGGGAAGTGAAGCAGAGTTCGGCTTCATTTGACGATCCTTCTTCTTGGGGCTAAGAATTTGAAGCGGTTTCTTGTTGGCTTTGAGATTAACCCCTTTGGTTTGAGGACTAGGTTCATTCTTCTTTCTGCGATAGTGATTTCTGATTGTTTGCTGGTTGAGGCCTCATTGGTGTTGGGCCCTATTGGACGCCATTATTTTGTTATAGCCGTTACCTTGCCTCCACCATTGGCTTTTCTTATCTCCGCTTCCTTCCCTTTCTGATTTCCCTGCTTTCCCTGTTTAGATACTACCTGTTGATTTGCCTTTCCTTTAGATATTACCTGCTGATCTGCCTTTCCTTTAGTGTCCCCTTTGCTAGCTCCCAGGTCAATATTCAGCTTTCCTTTTGTGTAGCTAACATCATGGGATGTATCTTGTTTCTTTCCTTTTGTTATTCCCGGGTTGGGTGCCTGATTAGTAGCCCCTTTCTTGTTTTGGCAGCGCGTCTTACGCACAACCTGCATCCACGGGCTGTAGCCAGCTGGAGCTTTCGTCGATCTTGTTTCCGGCGACGAACTGATCGTCTGCATTTCATTGTTCGCCGGAGCAAGGAGGAGCGCCGATTGCTTTGATGGAAAATCTTTGTCTATGTGTCCGATTCTTCCACATTCGTAGCATATCGTCGGTATGTTCTCGTACAGGACTTGTTACCATGCTCCATCCAGACGGATTCGAGTCGGTAAGGGCTTCGTCATATCCAGATCTATGGCGATGCGCGCAAATTTGCCTCTTTCTAGGTTTTCTGTGTGATAATCCAGCTTGACATTTCTGCCAACAAGATTCCCGATAGCAAACAACACCTCTATATGATAGAAGTGAACCGGTAATTCTGGAAACTGGACCCAAGCAACGACTGACCTGTGCGGTTTATCTGAGGTACGGAATGATGGTGACCATTGATGGACCACTAAATAGTGGTCAAGGTTGACCCAAGGTCCGCCTGTTATAGCACGTAGATAGTCTTGATCGTCGCCAAAGGTTGCAAGGAAAGTTTCGTTGTTTAGATCCATGATCTCGAGAGATCCCACCGGTCTCCACTTCCATCGCAGTTGAGCACATAGGTAAGAGTATGTAATTGATCGGCCCAGCAAGCGAACAATCAGGGTTTTCTTCCATGGCTGACATAGATTTTCTTTGAATTTGCTTGATAGTTTTAGCTCCGGTTCCCCTTCGAAAACCCCTGTTTCTATATCGTTCGCTTGATAGTTTTGAGTCCCAGCAGATACGACAGCTGGATTGCCTTCCATCATAATGAAGTCCGGTGGACGTCCCGTCTGCTCTGGAATCGCCGGCGGGGGGAAGAGGAAGAGGTGAGAGCAGATGGCGAGAGCATTTTCCACAACCAACACTTAGTTATTTAATTGATTTGTTAAGTTAATTGATAGGCTTCATTTCACCGCCTATAAATTGGATAATGGACCAAAGGCTATTATTACCAGCAGTTAAACCCTTAAACTCCACGGCAGGTGCCAGGCGGCATGATAGAGGAGTTCTTTAGATTGCAACCTTGACGAAAATACCCTCAGCGAGAGTTAAGGAGAGAGCACCAATTTTCAAATGCTGAAAAGCCCACAAAACTCCACTATTATGTTATATATCATCTTGATTGATTTGTTTTTCATGTTTATGGTAGGTACACGAGCAACGATAATACATACTAACAAGTATAATATTTCTACAAGAACAATAATAATAAACATAGAAATTCCGTTTTAAGTTTATCATAACATATATCAGTTACCAATTCATTGTCCTCTATTTCAAAAATAGTGTATAGTAACATATATTAGAACTAGTAGAACAAAGAATTCTAGGTTCCATAAAAAGACACAAGAAATGGCATAGACATCTAACTCATGTTCCTATATTAATTGAATAATTCTATTATTGATTTATTGTTACTTAATTGATAATTATAATGTGCAATAGCTAAAAATGAGGGTAACTTTGGAATATTAAAAGATCGTGAGAGTATATGGGTAAATTCTTATCATGAATTTATGACATGTTCCAAATGCCACATAACACTTGAGATTTATAAGTTCATTGGGTTCACGGATCTGGACCCTCAAAATCCATGGGCCGCATGATGATCATGGATTTTTGCCCAAATCCATCTCTCACATCCATGAAGCAAATACTCCTATATATTCCACCTCATACAATGTTTAAGACTTTGAAAACATCAGTAAATAATCTTAAACATTGTATGAACTAGTTAAAATTAATTAACCAAATAATATTATAACAATAGAGTATACAAATATGGGGTCAATTAATGATGAAAAACTTATTATCATAACATTATCCAAAATTGTGTTATTTAGAGCTCATATTTAGGTTTGTTTCGAGTAATAATATGTTCTTCATGGTTGATGTATCGTCGATTATACTCTTTATTCGTTCCTCGGGGAAATCATTATCGTTTTAGGGTGTATTAGTCGATATGAATGTTTTAGGTATCAAAAGAGGGCACAAGTGGAGAGAAAGGTGCAAAAATTGAGGATCACAACCAAGACATAGAAGATCACGGTCGGGGACAAAGGACATGAAGGTGGATAGCTAGACCGCAGCCTATGCAGCAAAGATCATGGCCGCGAAGAAGGAGGCTTCAAGCGCGGACTTTTGAGCAGCCAACAAGGAAAAAACATGCAGTTTTGATAGTCGACTCACAAATTTTCGCATCAGAGCCCACGAGAAAGATCGCGGTCCCGACTCACAAATCGAGGCCGTGAATTCGGGTCGCAAACTCCTCATCCAGCGAATCACAAAATGGCAAGGTCCGAGATCGCAGCCTCCCCTTCCCAGATCATGCCCGCAAACTTTCGCAGTTCGACCGTGAACTTGGCCGAGATCCTAAAATCTATAAATAGGGGGTTCTTCCCTCTCACTTAGGGAGTTGAAATCGATTGTGAAATTTATGGTATGAGAGAGAGAAAGTAGAGTGAGAAGATGAAGGAAGGAGAAGAAGAGAAGAAGGAGAAGGAGTCAAGGAGGAAGAGAGCTCTACCCAATTCAAGTCTTCTTTTATTTTTTATACATGTATCTTCTTCCCTCCTTTATAGAGTAGTCCTCTAATGTACTAGGGATGAAAACCGCTCAAAACCTAGATTTAGATTTTGAATGTAGATGTAATTGTGTATGGATTTGTTTGTTTCGGTGATTAAATGCTTCATTTATACTTGATTATGCTTGGGATTGTCTCCCAACTTTTCACTATTAAGAGAAACTAGCGATTATTCCTTAATATGTGAGATTTGACTGAGGTGAGTTCCACACCTCATCCTACAAACCCAACATAGTTAGTCATTTGAATGAAGAACCTAGATTTAGGTAAAGGGAGTTACTCCAGAGTACCTGCTTTGTATCCTTGCTTTATCCACCAATATTTTCAATTCACTTCCAAAAATCCAACTAAACAGATTAGCTTAGATCATAATAAGGTGAGAAGTAGCCTAGCGTATCGAAACCTGTGGAGTACGACCTTGGTCACCGCTATATAAGCAACACTATTTTGAGTTATACTTGACTCAGAATGGGGTATTTAGTTAGACCGTGCAAACAATTTACATGACCCACACGGGGATCGATCAAGTTTTTGGCGGCATTGTCAAGGAACCTCAATAACTAGTTGAAAATCATTGAGTTTTAGTTTACTTTTACTTTTATGCTTATATGTGTATATATTAATATATATATATGGTGCCTTCTACGGTACCCCGGGTGAAATCCGAGGTACCACATACCTTGAGTATGAAAACACTATCTAGACCTCGAATTAGCAGGATTTTTGGGCATGATACTATACCCTAACCCTTAATGAGTGAACCCTAGGTCCTAATTTTCTAAATCATAAACTATAAACCCTAAGATGGTGCATTGATTTTTTTATCTATATTTGGACGAATCATAACCGTCGATTATTGTTTCTAATTAAATTGATCTTGGGGTATAAGATTTAGAGAAATAAGACCTAGATTTTGATCTTTAAGGGTAAGAGTACAGTATCATGTCCGAAACATTAGTCAATTCAAGTTCTGGATAGCATTTTCTTACTCAAGGTATGCGGTACCCCGGATTTCACCCTGGGTACCGTAGAACTCCCCTAATATATATGGCAAAGGCTAGCGTACGCCCGGACGTACTCTAGCCTACCGTATGCCTGTTGAGTTTTGCTATTTAGACAATGAATTAACCGGAGTTTGGGGCATTATATTATACCATAACCCCTAATGGGTGAACCCCAGTCCGCAATTCACTAACCCAAAGCATAATATTCATTTAATCTTGAAATGAAAATCAACGGTTCTAATTCGTCGAAATTATTGTTGATTTTCATTTTAAGATTAAACGAATCTCATGATTTGGGTTAGAAAACTAGGGACTGGGGTTTATCCATTAGTGGTTAGGGTATAGTATCATGCCCAAAAATCCGGTTAATTCATGATCTAAATAGCAAAATTCAAACGGGCGTACGGTAGTCTAACGTACGCCCGGGCGTACGCTAGCGTGAACCAGACATATATTATAAGACTTCTATCGTACACCAGACATATATTGAGGTATGTCGTACACCAGCAATCTCCACCATTCGTGTCCATCTCAACGGCTAGCATTAATGCAAGTTCTTTTTTTATAGGATTAAAAAATAAATTATCTCATTTATGCAGGCCGTTGAGATGGACGCGGACAGTGGAGATTGTCTAGTGTATGACATACACCAGATTTTGCCTGGTGTACGACAGAACCATCCACACACATATATATATATATATATATATATATATATATATATATGGAACCGACTCGTGTGCTCCAGGCGCATAGCATGCTCCAGGTCCTGAGATCGTTGATCTAATCTAACGGTTAGTATTAATTATATTAAAATTATATATTTAATAATAATTATAATTACAAAATACACCCTTGAAATAATTATACGTGCTATGAAGTCCCCAAACAATAATTACCATCATGTTTGCTCGTATGATACCTTATTTTGTAGAGTTCCTTATTCAACCCCAAAATTTATACAATTGATAAAAACAAATTCTCCATTAAAATTTGGCTGGAATGGTTTATGAATCAAAACTTCATTGTCATCATCCACTCAAAGGTTATCGTAGCAGACCATCCCTAATTCCCTCTTCTTCTTCTTCTTCGTCCCGACTGTCCCTCCTCTCCTCGCTCTATCAATCCCATCTCGACCCTTCAAACTCCTTCTCTCCCACTCCCTATCTTTTATCCCCTTCGTAGCCCAGACTTTCGATTGGGCGCAGCAGGACGAGCAGAACACTACATCCACCATTGCTGACTCGGAACAGGAAGAAGAAGGTGAGGATTCGGCAGCCGAGGAGGGCCCGGTGGCTTCCTACGCCGCCGCCGAAGATGGGGATGATGCAATTGAGGCGCAGGAGCCGTCGGAGGACGCCAAAGTGTTCGTCGGTAACTTGCCGGACGATGTGGATGGTGAGAAATTGGCTATGCTCTTCGAGCAAGCTGGAACTGTAGAGATTGCTGAGGTTTGTTTCGATGGACAATCTTCGAGCAAGCTGGAACTACCAGCGAGCGCTCGACGACGAGCTCGATAATCTCCTCGCCCAGCGGAGCTATCTCGACAAGCAGCTCGTCCACCTCCAGAAATCGGCCGAGGTTCTCGAGATTGTCAAGGCCGATTCTGACTACATGCTCAGCAATGTTGGCTCCACCTGCGACCTCGCTGACCACGTCAGCGCCCAGGTTCGGGAGCTGGACCTGGCTCAGTCGCGAGTGAACACTACCGTGCTGCGGATCGACGCCATTGTCGAGAGAGGGAATTGCATCGACGGAGTGAAGAACGC